CGCTGAGATACAATCTGTCGCTGATTTAGAGTCAAAATTAGCAGACATCAAGATTCCCTGGGATGAGATAGCCCCTCGAAATATCCAAGACTGGCTAGATATATTCGCCAAGAGCCATGGCACAACGCGTGATTTGCTCCTCACAGGAATGTTACCGTGTACCGGAGCGCTAATAGTGGACACCACTGTAAAACTTTTCGATCCTTGGAAAGAAAATGGTAATTTGTTTTTTGTTGGTCTTGCCCCGTCTGGAGCGGGCAAAACTCCAGCCTGTAACATCGCCTGTGTCAATCCACTTATTTCACACTTGGAGCCACGCGTCCAGCGAAGCATTTTGCTACCATCTTTCCAACGAATGGCTTTGAGGGTCTCTTGAGTATTTTTTTTCATCGCACGATGGACAGAGAAGGACTAGCTCTGGAAAATGTAACTGTGGATCCCACAACAAGATATCTGGTACCAGAAAAGCACTGGGGGAGTCATCAACCGCATTCCTGACACGCGTTCCACGAGGAATTGCACGAACAGGCCCATGCACTTGAGAAGCAGATGACTTCTCCGTTGCTATTTTCAATAACAAGCCCAATAAATCCTTTTGTTTCCTTTTTTAACTTAACCAAGGAACTCCCAGGCGTAAAACAAAATAAGAAAAATAGTGAAAACCATAGCTTTAAGAATTTGGCCGCCATAAAAATCAAAACGTTGCAAAAACAACTCGCAAAAGGACAAGGACTTAAAGCAAGTTCGTGAACAGCTTAGAACAGGTTGAAATCCGCGCGAAAGGGCAGCAATAACATTACATAAAAGGAAATAATAAAGTTAATCAGTTAACGAAAAGTCTCGTCCCTGGATTGTCAAGGTATCGAAAGAAAAGAATGCATTACGTAAACTTTGAGGGATCAAACTAAAGTTTTTTATGTTGTTTTTAGATTTTTATCACTTACAATGAAGCAACGATAAACTAATTATGTAAATCTTACTATCCATCGATCCAACGATCTATTTCCATCACACACAGGCTTACTTAGTATCGTCACGCAACGCTTCTCAGCGATCTATTGATCCATCGATCCAGCGATCTACCGCTCTATCGATCTATTGATCCATCGATCCAGCGATCTACTGCTCTATCGATCTATTGATCCATCGTTCCAGCGATCTACTGCTCTATCGATCTATTGATCCATCGTTCCAGCGATCTACCGCTCTATCGATCTAACGATCTATTGATCCAGCGATCCACCGCTCTACCGATCTAACGCTCCATTGATCCATCGATCCAGCGATCTACCGCTCTACCGATCTAACGATCCAGCGATCTACAGCTCTATCGATCTGTTGATCCAGCGATCCACCGCTCTATCGGTCTAACGCTCCATGGATCCATCGATCCAGCGATCTACCGCTCTATCGATCTAACGATCTATTGATCCATCGAGCTTTGGTTCTATCCATCCAGCGATCTATCATTCTAGCGATCTAACGATGTCGGTGCATTAATTTTGGTGACGTCAGTTGTGAGGTTTTTACACCGAGGTAAAGCCCAAAATTTCAGCTCCAATGCAAGTCAAACTCAGAAGTAGAGGGCTCTTTCCTCTGCACACTGATCCCCCCCCTCCCTTACAGTCAAATAATGAATATACACTGCATACTTTATCTGTCAAATACAAATTTATTTCATTCTAAGTATTGCTACTGTTAAAACCTTTTACAGACCATGATTTTAAAGTTATGAAGACTCTTTATTATGGTATAAATGGACAAACATCATTTGAAAGAATGGAACGATAAATATATACATTTTTAACTTTAATTAAACCATTTTCTGAAATATATCTCTTCACTAAATCAGTATACTTCTCAAAATTGCAACCATTGCTTGAAATTACACACAAGAGACACTTGTAAGTAAAGCATCCCTTTTCAATGACTCAACAAATGTGGTATGAGGCAGCTTATAACCAAGACTGACTGAATTTTTTGAAGTACAGAAAATTACTAATTAATAACACAACAGCAATAAGTGGTCCTGCTCCTGCACAAGAATATAGATTTTGTTTGATTTCTGCATCTGAAAGACAAAGAGTCTTGGAGCAGCATTGACTATTCTTTCAGTGGATGTGAAAATACATCCCATTTTACACTATTAAAGCATTCACTTTCATCATGTACTACCTCAGGCATTTGCCAAGTCATTGAAAAAGGAGGAAACAGTAACAAGAGTCTGCCCGCACCCAATTTCAAGTAATGCTTGCTCTAAAAAAAGTAAAAATTGCCTTTGACTGATTGTGGGAGACACTAAAAGTATAAAATGAGCCAAGAAACCTAATGACAGCATCAATACTTCCTTCTTGTAGTAGCTGACAAATAATACTCCCCTCTGTGACTATATACAGGAGATCAATGTCATAAATATCTCTAACAATAACAATTGGTGGCAGGATGTAATCTATAACTACCGGATCAACATCAGCCTCTCTGCAACAAAAACAAATTTTACAACTATATTAAAAACAAGCCAAAGTGCAAAGGAACATCAAAATTACTGGCTAGTCTGCCATGTTCAGTTGGTCATTTTCCCCTCATTTAATTTTTCTCAAATGTTACATCTACATATGTAGGATGTTTTTCTAAAACTATAAGCCAAAGCATTAAAATGGAAGAGGGAAATTAGCTCAATGCTTATAATTTGTTTTCTCTTCAAGCCTTGAAAAAATACTACACGACTCCCAAAGTATCTGTGCACATCACAAATGTACATGTGGGCAGTTCAACCATCAGAAGAAAAAAAAAAGGAATCAACTATTGCATGTGCAGTATTTATCTTGTTGTTTGACTACAGCAGGATTAAAAAAATTCTGCTAAATCCCAAAAATGGAAAATAGAAGGAAATTAAATACAACCCTAAAGTACTTAAAGCTTAGTATCTGGACTTCAAAAGCAATTGGGCTCAGTAATTTTAGCTGCTCGGTAGTATTTTTGCTCCAAAGTAGCAGTGTTTATAGACTCCTACCTCCAAATGGTTAGAACTTCATGTTGCAGTCCCCTTTTCTTTCCACTCTACTGGTGCAGAACTTTGTTGATGACCAGCAGGGATGTCAATTATTTTTAATTTCTGAAATTTAAATATAGAAGAATTTACTCTTTGTGAAAATGGGAGACATTAATGAACACCCACATAACAGAATATTGTCTAATCTAGCAGTCTGGATAAATTCTCCTTAAAGCCAGGGCTTATAAAAGTTGTAAAGTCGAAGGTGATTTCCAATCAGGTGTCTGTGACAGCAGCAGAACGTTTTACACAAATTAAGGTATACTACTCCTTTGTAAATGATTGAAAACCTCATTTTTACTTTCTGTTTCATCCCTCTTCACTAAGGGCAGCTTCCATTCTATTCCATTCCATTACCTCATTGACCACTTAATCTTTGCTAGCAGCAGCATATTCTAATTTAGGATATGCTGCAGCCACATAAGTTATTTTTCCCATAATTTGGTTGGGATTTTATCATCATTGAATCTTCTACACAGCTGAGCTTTTAACTACTTACTTTTCCAATAAATGTACTCTAGAGATATTCATAACCACATTTGTGCTGATAACCTAAAGAGAGAAATGCTATTCTTAAGGACTGTCCATACCCTTAATAAGGAACACAAGTGTAAATTATTGGTAAGGAACTTGCATTTTGTACACACAAAATCCCTCTTCCCCCTTTAAGAATAGAATTAGTACAACTGGGAAGCATATCACTTAAAAGTATTGCACTGCAACCTCTCACAGGCACCCTAGTATCAGCCAAAAGTTGGCAAAAAAAACAAACAAACAAACAAAAAACAAACAAACCTGTAACTGGTTTACACTTAGGACAGAAACAAGCAATTTACAGCCAATACTTACATAGATGAAATATTTCAGAAAGGTACTCCACTAACACATCCTTCACCAATTTAGGGGCAGTTATGATTTCAAAGTGGTGAAGGGGGAATGTTTTGTCCATGAAATCCTTGTAAGCTTTGTGCTTTCGAGAGTTTTTCCCGACTTCATGGCGATTTTCATCAGAAAAGGCTTTTAAAGTTGCCAGAGTCTCACCCGCTGGTAAGTCTGGCTGCTTTGCCCAAATACTGAAATCGTTCTTGGTGCCTTTTGACCTTAGAGGGACCAGCAAATTATAGCAGGATTCGCTGGACGTTTAGGTTTGTAGATTTTTTTTCATCTTGTTGAAAATCTTGACCTCCAAATAGCCCTGGAAAAGGGTCAGCACATTGCATATATTATTGTATGATTGTTTTGCATGTTTGTTAGTAAAATTCACTCAACTAATGATATTACTTTCAATGTGTGGAGTTCACTTGGCACGTTTTGTTTTTCCTTTGCGGTAAAATTGGAAGAAAGGAATTGATAATGTAATCTTCACCATCCAGCCATATTAATAATGCCTCGTCCATGATACAAAAATCCTTGAGCGGTTTTCCCTTTTCATTGGGTGTCGAAAGTAGTTCTAAATTTTCATCATCGCTGCCGTTTTGTGAATCGTCAATCGACGTCTAAAACCACAGGTGACCTAAGCTCTCTCAAATGCCCTTGCACGGTGAATAATTAAAGAGTTTGTATAGTGGTTTAGTTGGACTTGCTTTTGAGCTCCGTAAATGTAAAGTTGTGCGAAATAATCAAAGAAATAAAGTCTTACCTTCACAGAGAGTAGTCTGTGTAGTTCTCCTCGCGATTTGAGGCCGTTTTGATGTTTTAGCTTGACACCCTAACTTACCGCGCATAAAATACGGGAAGTTCGGAAACTTCTTGTTGTATTCTGTCCGTAACTACGTCTCTTTAATCACATATAAGATAACTAACAACAAACGAATTCAATCGACATCCCTCGCTCGTCGTTCCACGTGTCATTGCCTCTTCAGGTCATGTGACCGACACAACACTTCTGTTGACATATGCTCGCCAAAATCGCTCGAAAACAACACTTAAACACGAAGGCGCGCTATAAAAGGAGCCTTAGGTCCCACTGGACCATTTGTCAATCAACCGTCGTGTGATGTAGAACTCTTAGAG